GGTAGAAGGTGGGGAGAAGGAGCGGCAGACCTGCCAACTGCTTACGAGTTGTTTTTCGGTTATTCCTACGAATTCCATGATGTTTCTGACGAATGTACGATGGCCTGCACTGAAAAACTTAGTGTTTGTTACATTGTGAGCTGAGAAATATCTGGCGATTGTGGTCGCCAGCCATAGTTGGCGATCACGCGGTTCACGTTGTTCTCGCGTGAAAATCTAGAGTTTAGTCCATCCATTCATTGCGCGCAATAACATAACATAACAAATATTGGCTGCCACTGCAAGAATAAAGCAAAAGCCTACTATTTTCATGAATCACAGAGTTGGCAGCTGCTGGAAGGCGGGAGCGACGAGGAGAAGGTAGGAGCCGAGGAGGAGGAGTAGAGACAGGAGGACGTAGTGGAGCGTCCAGGTGGTGGAGCGAGGAGGGAAAGAAGAGCGTCGGTGCGAGGAGGAGGAGAGGAGGTGGAGGAGGCAGGACGACCCAGCTAACACAGGTGAAGAACCGTCGTTCCCACAACGTTGCTGGAATGTTGTAGTTTTGGATCGCGGGTCAGGAATAACGTTGGCAGCAACGTTCAGAAACGTACCACACGAACGCTTACACTCAAAACATTCTCTACAACGTGATGGTAGTAACGTTGGTAAAAGACGTTATTAGGAGCGCGGTTTACATATTTTTCTATAGTTAATAGCAGTCTGTATATACAATATCATATGCTTAATGTTAAAACCTTATTAGATTATGGCAGCGGTATTTAAATTTTATTGTCGTTATTTCTGTCAAATATTATCCAACGTCTGTCACACGTGTGTAGGCAACGTCTGTAATGTACAGTTTCTCAACCAAGTTTCATGGTATTGTTTGGGAGGCAGAGACCTGGACGCACAAGGGTTAGTGTGCCATCAACATTATTATAAATTAGAACGGTTGAAAAAGTCAGGTAATAACGTGCTAGCCTAAAACGTTCCCAGAAAACGTACCACCCGAACGTTTACCACTCGCACCTTCCAACAACTTATGTAGTAACGTTTTCTTAAAACGTTATTAGGACGTGGATACGCAGGTATAGGCCCTAGTATACATAGTTTTTTTATAGTAAATTGACACTCTGTATTATATTGAAATATACGATATCGTATGTTAACTATAGCCTTAAGTAATTACGCCATTTATGTTAAAATGTTATTATTTTTTATTTCTGTCAATAAGTGTGCAACCGTTCACAAGACGTTTGCAGAACGTCCGGTAGGTGGGAGAACATTGGTGCGTTGTAGAGGGGCAGAACCCGATGACGATTTGTTGCCTATCAACATTGATAGTAAAGATCTGTATTTAGAGATACTGGGGATATTAATCACAACATGTCTTCTACCGTCAGCTTGTCTTATGAATTACGACTATGCTGAATAAGGGGCAGATGTTATACAAATTGCTAAACAAATGTGTAGAGAGGAGAATGCTTGACAGGAGGAGGCGACGAGTCTGGGATATTACGTAGCACCTAGTGTGGTTGTTCAAACGACGGAAGGCGACAGTCTGCTCTGAGAGCTTATTTTGATAGAATACGGGAAGTACATTGCATGAAAGTGGGTTCCTAGGAGGATGCTATAGTAAGTCTATTATAAAGATAATTCAAGACTAAACGGCTCAGTGCGCGGGCGGTTCCTGACGGAGTGGATGTTACCTACATGTTGATCGGTACAGTCATTACAGCTGCTGATTTTTGACATATGGAAATATGTAGCCTTAGCTTATAAGTTATAGTACCAGTATAAGTCCTTTTAGTTTACATCAGTTAGTGTGCATACCTGAGCCTGTCACACGCTGTGGTCTATTTCACACGTCCGGCACTATTTCGTTCAATTCGACTGTGCTTTCCAGGCTTTCAATGTTGACACCATTGTTAGGCCTCATAATAACAACGTCTTACTTAGTATATAGCTCTGCGAGTACTATGAGCCCGCGTTACATTAAACTGCCCGCTGGTCTCTACATGGCTGACTCAATAATGGCATAAGAATGAAGAAGGGGCAGAAGGAGAAGCCTGGTCGGAGAAGGAGGGAGCGGGGAGAAGCTGGTGGGAGAAGGAGGAAGCGGGGAGAGAGAGAGGTGTGGAGGAGGAGGGAGAAGCTGTTGGAAAACGGAGGAACGTTCGTGGAGAAGGAAGGAAGGTGGTGGAGGAGGGGAGAAGGCTAGTGGCGAGAAGGCGAGTAGAGGGCGAAGCACACGGAGAAGCGGGTTGCGGAAGAGGAGGGTGGAGATGCTGTCGTTGAGAAGGAGGAGGGTGAGCAAGAAAGGTGCGTGAGAAGAGGAGGAGGAGGGGCCAGACAGGTGGCTGAAGAGCGGGCAGAAGCTCTCGGGTGCGGAAGGCAGGAGGTAGGAGAAGCTGATGGCGAGAACACAGGAAAGGAAGTAAGCACGCGGGAGAACGGGAGGGCTGGTGGAGAAAAGGGGGGGGGCGCGAGAAGGAGAAAGCTGGCGGGAGCAGGAGCTTAGGTCCAGCGCTCGGTGAGGACGGCGGGAGCCAAGGTGAGAAGGGGCTGTGGGTGGAGAAGGAGGGGTAGAGAAAGATGGCTTGTGAGAGATGGGGAGAAGGAGAAGCATGGGTGTAGAGGGGAGAGAAGGAGAACGTGGTGGGAGCGGCAATGAAGTGAGAAGTCTGTGGAGAGGGAGAAATCTGGGGAGGAAGGAGGAAGGTGACGCCGTAAGGTAGGGGGCGGTTAGAATCTGCGACTGGGTGCGGAGGAGGGAGAAGTAGAAAGGTATAAGGAGAGGGAGAAGGGAGCGGGTGGAGTCCAGAAGAGGGAAGAAAGCGTAGGTAAGTAATTGGAGGAGGGGCGAGAAGCTTGTGTGAGAAGCGAGGAGCAGAGAGGGGAGCAAGGAGAGAAGGTGGTGGAGAGAGGAGGGAGGGAGAAACCTGTTGGATGAAGAAGGAGGGGAAACCTGCGTGGAGAAGGAGGAGGGAGAAGCTGGTGGAGAAGCTGCAGAATGGTGGAAAAAGGAGAAGGAGAGCTGTGTGAGAAGGAGGAAGGGGAGGAGGGGGAGAAGCTGGTAGAGAAGGAGGTGGAGAAGGAAGAAGCTGGTGGAGAAGGAGGAAGCTACGACCAGCTTCTCCCCCTCCTTCTCCACCAGCTTCTTCCCCTCCACCACCTTCTCCCTTCTCCACCTCCTCCTTCTCCACCAGCTTCTCCTCTCATTCTCCACCACCTCTCTTCTCCCCTCCCCCTTCTCCAACACCTCCCTTCTTCCCTCCTCCTCCACCAGCTTCTCCCCCTCCTCCTTCTCCACTAGCTTCTCCCCCTCCTTCTCCACCACCTTCTCCCTTCTCCCCTTCCTCCTTCTCCACCAGCTTCTCCCTTCTCCCCTTCCTCATTCCTAGCCATATTGAGTCGGCCATACGGCCGCCGTGCGTATAGCCATATTGAATCTTATCCACACGGCCGCCCGTGCGTATAGTCACTTCCGTTAAGCCCTGTAATGAGTTACAACTCTTTTGCAGATTTTTTCACAATTCCAATGTGGAGTTTTGCTGTCGCCGTCATCCCAACGGTGGTCACCCCCTACATGTTCAATAACCCCCTGCTTTAGATCCTGGATCTGCCACTGATGGGTGTATAATTGGAATGGACAAGTGTACAATATGGACATACAGTGTGTTCCAGCAAAGTGTATACTTGACATTACATTAATTTCTGGAATTCAAAACAAACCTACTGCCACGTAGCTCTAGCCCGTCATATAGCCCGCGTACAGTTGCCGCTGGCGGAGCGGCCCAGCGGCAACTGTACGCGGGCTATATAGTACTAGAGCTAACTGCCACGATGACAGGCCCACTCCCACAATAGCAACAGGCCTTTCATTAAGCAAATGTTTAAATATTCCGTTTATTATTTATAAGTATGGAAATTTCAGTTACTCTCCAGAAAGCAGGAAGGGCGAAAAAAAATACATTCAAACCCTCTGAAGAGGCAATTATGAGCGTCGGAAATTTATGTCTTTAGTAAGTCAATCAATTTGATCTTTTCAGATGACATAATTGGCGACTTCTGGGACTGACTGGGTCCACCAGAGAGTGTTTCATACACACAGTAAAAATACGCCTATTTAACCTATATTGTTTGTGATACATAACATTGTGCTAACATCATATATGGGCAAGGCATTATTTTGTTTAAGGAATTGGTTGTGAGCAATCATCTTTTTTTTCACATGCTAGAAATGCCCTATGGAAAAGTCCTGACCACATGCTAAGTGGTGGCAGCAGAGTCGAATTTCGAATCGTGATTGGAGAAAGGAGCCATACTCATGCCCAAGAGAGAAAAATGCCAAGTCACCAGCAATTGTTTAGAAGAATGAACCTGGTGCATAGTGTGTTTTCACTAAAAGTTAAGACAATTGCGTTATGTATTTTTGGCTCTTGAACTTCTCCAGATCTTTGGCCTTAATATTGTGGCCAAGACATAGGTTTCATACGTTAACATATATCAATTAACATTCAACCGTAATGACGCCGGGACCGAGAGCATATTTAGGTCGACGAAAACGATTCGGAATTAAATACATACAGATACTCTAACTTTACCTGTATTCGTAATAGTAATGTAGCAAATAAACATTGTCAACTATTACATTGTAGTGTTGCCTTGTTCTTCAATTTTTGACTCTACCAGTTGTGCAACATCATTTGAAATATATATTAACTTAGTTTTATTGCGGCTTACAGATCGCATTAATGTCAATTTTAAATGGAGAGTGTGAAAGATTCCGATGTTCCATGACAAATAATGTACTCATCATTTTTTTCTGCTTTGAACATTAAATTACACAGTTAAATTCATTTTAACGTGTATCACATGGTTGCAGGGAACGTCTAACATGTACACGTTGTGGCAACGTGTCAGGGGAGTCCACAACAAATAACGTTGGCCACAACATGTGCACAACGTTGACCACAACGTTGGTTATCACAACGTTGCTGGCAACGTCAGGGGACGCCACCAAAATAACGTTGCCACAGACGTTTACCAACAACGTTTTCACAACGTAAGTGAAAACGTGTGACAAACGTCCCGCCACAACCTGTATATGTTAGCTGGGGAGGTGGAGGAGGAGGGGAAGATAGTGGTTGGAGACGGAGAGAGGACGGTGGCAGAGGAGGAGGAGGTTGGAGGGAGGAGGCAGCGGAGAAGGTGTGAGGCCCAGAGGAGGGTGGTAGAAGGTGTGCGCAGAGCGAGGGAAGTGGAGGAGGAGGAGGTAGAGGAGGGTGCCTCTCACCTCCTCCTCTCCTCCTCCTCCATCACATTCTCGCCCCCTCCTCCTCCCCTCACTACCTGCTCTCCTACTTCCACTACCTGATCCGTGTTCTCTAACTCCATCCTCTGATTGTCCGGGGGGTAAATTCGTCGGGGGGAATTGTCTGGCTTGGGCGGGTAAATGTCCCGGGGCGGCTAATTGTCCGTACACGGGCTGAAATATGGTCCGTTGCCCGCCGACGCCCGGGCTGTCCGCATTAAGCCAATCCCGTGCACTGTGTGGTGTAAATGGTCCGGGTACCAAATGTCGCCGGGCTGCCCCGGCGTAATTGTCTGCTTGGTCGGGGGGTATAGAATGTCTAGGCAGGTGAAGTTCCCGGCTGTTTAATACGTTGTCCCCGACTTTGAGAATGTCGTGCCGCGACGGGCGACAGGCGTAAATGTCTGGGGTGATTGTCGGGGCGGCTAAATGTCCGAGGGGTGATTGTGCCAGGATCGTATATATATATATATATATATATATATACAGTATATGCATATATAAAGCCTAAACTTATATGTCAACAACTATAGTCAAATATGACAGTAAATTTGAGTTCATACACTGTATACACAGCATAGAAAATACCTAGTTTACCACTGAGTATATGGCATGACAGACACCAAAAACTTAGAAACAAAACCTGCGATGCATGTATAGTTATGTCGTCAATGACAAAAGGAAACCTAAGAGAGGAAGAGAATACAATGCAATATCCACATCAAGCAAAAGGCACACATAATCAGAAGGTATGGTTACCTTTGTAGGCATCACGCCAGCAACGAATGCCTTCCCAGTGATTCTGGTCACCTGACCTCTATCCAGCAGTGTAATTGGTTGTAGATGTGGTTTCACTGGAGAGGTCACAATTTTTACTTCACCTCCACCTTTGGGATAATAGCCTCTAGGTGCGAAAGAAAATTTCCAGTAAGCAGTTTGGCAGGTAAACAACAACCAATAATGATAAACTTTTCTTATAAACTCTTTTTTTTAAACACGACCGCAATCATCACCTTACCTCCTTTTAATGGAACCTGTATAACCGATTCCCATTCTCTCAGCCATTGGCTGAAATACCTTACGAAAGACAAAGTATTGAGTTTATTTAGTTAGTTGGCCTACAGGTTACAGAACATACATTTTTTCTTCATCATCATGCTAAAATAGATATAAATACTCTATCAGTAATTGATAAGCTAACCTCCATCTACATATTAATTCACTGTCAAGGATATAAACTACGTCTAAATATTACTTGACTGTTGAACTAAACTACATCTACATTTTCTTATATGGCTAAGATAAACCGCACATACCTAATGATTAATCATTCACGCAATATATACTTACCATCTCAAAGTAGTCAATCTGTGGTGCAAAATCTGCATTAGTTCCACCTTTTAATTGCAGACTGACTTCACCATCTGCAAATAGCATGCACGGTAGCGCCACCTGTAGCAGCAAGCAAACGCTCCTGAAAATAATTATAACAAATCAAGAAATGTGTTTTGTTTTTTAACGTGCATACATATTCTTTACAAATAAATTCGATGTTTTCCAGCTTCTTGGAAGAATGTAGCAATAAATCAATAGATTCCAGACAGTTATTTAAGCATAAAACCCTATTATAATGACCACTCCCTATGTGAGAATGTATCAGGAGTCTATCAATATTGATAGACACCTGAATGTATCCATAACCACACGGAAACTTTGTTATCGGCAACAATCATAACAATTAATGATTACAGTGAGATATATTATAGTGCAGCGTGCACAGTATTTCTCGCTTACCCAGCTGTCTTTGTATCAGCCACAAATCTTCCTGCTTTCAATTTTCCTGGCCAAAACGTCACCTCTGTTGATCCAACTTGTGCTCTGTCCAGCTGACCCTGACAAAGATCTCTTACCAGTTGAATTCCCATAAGGTGTTGTGGCCTGCAAGCAAGTATATGGGAAGATATCAATTTTATTGTTGGATAAAACATTGCTGTTAGAAAAAACTTAGTTTTCATATACCCTATTCATTCACCTTGAATTGCAGACAAATACGATCACAAGCCCTACACGACTCGTAATTTTTAAATGTGAAAGTTTAGAAATAACTTGCTTGGCATCAGTGCACAAAAAAACATTAGCTTTAGTAGAACAGTGTGCTGCCAGCATGCGATTTTGAACTCTGTAAATTCTAACCTGGTCATGCAGCAAATAAAGAGTCAACTAAAGGTCAATTAATCCTCATTTCATTTGTATCTATTCAGTGGCCGTGCCTCTGGTAGTTAGTTTTAGTGTGCCTTGCTATGAGTTTTCTGCGTCTGTTCTGTTAATAACATACCACTGAGCTTAGACAGGTTCTGTGTATACTTATTACTTACTTATGAAATACTGGAATATATTACAGAGGGCAAGAAAAAGTGGCATGGCACGTTACGTATTTACAGAAATGGATACATATAAACTATAAGTGAGTTGTTTTCAGAGCCTACTCACCTTAGCCCACCAGTTGAACGCCCGGCACGTATATTAAACAGCTTGATGGGCCGGCCGGTCAAGCAGCTCAGTGATGTTGCAACGCGAAGGATTTGGCCACCCTGAAAGCATCGCACAATAGTTGTAATATTATTGACTATGTACTATTATGTACGTACTATGTATAAGGTATTACAGTATTTTGTACAGTATGGTGCAGAGAAAGAAATGTACGATTACCTTGAATTTGGAAGTAAGAGTAAAGAATTGAGATGATCAAGCAACAGACACTTCTGTTGTGGTCTGGCATAGTGAGTAAAGTAAAAATGTATGGCAGGGGCATAACATACCTATCAATTGTTTGGAGCACACAGCAAGAGCTCGTGCGTTGCGGAATGATGGGCTACATAAGTGTTACTATTAGTACCATAGAAATAACAAGTAATGTATATATTTCTATAGACTAGTTAGTAGCGACTAGCATGCGCTGGGCGCTATAGGCACTTGGAACGTCTCAATGAAAAAAGGCAAATAAACACGAAATGTATTTACTACCAAAGTCTTAATGTTTCTCTACTCTCCTTTGCCTATTATTGCCAATAACTTGTTGTAAATGCCGTTCAAATGCTCCTCTACAACACACAAGTACACTGCACGCACACCCTGTGTACAAACAACAAGAATAATAGAGTTTTCTTCTTTTCATCTATTATTCTTCTATTATTATTCTATTATTCATGTTGTTTGTGCACAGGGTGTGCGTGCGGTGTACTTGTGTGTTGTAGAGGAGCATTTGAAAGGCATTTACAGCAAGTTATCGGCAAT